TTTTTTCTATTGTGTTTTATATATTGCAAATCATAGGCTTTCTAAACCTCCACATTTTGCGGAAGAGAACGCTGTTCAATTAACCCGTATCCTCTTAACCTCAAATGCCAACAAAGGAATTGACGCAGTAAATATTACGTATATTCTTAATCGCAAAAGGGTCCAGTCTATTTCAAGTTTGTCCGCATCTTGCATTTTTACAAATATTCATCGACTATTGCTTCCACACTTTTTAATTGCAAAAAACCCTACAGTGTCTAAATATCGAACATCTGAAACATACCTCCAACGTGTTCATGATCTTCACCATACAACTTAAGTCCTGCAGGACACATCATTACTGGTGACGTAAATATAGTTAATAACGAGGACCTAAAATCACTTATTTTAAAAGGACAAAAATTTAGGAAACTTCAATCTATCAACTGGCGTCAACATTTCATATGTACTCATAGTTCCCTTTCTATGGAGGAATTTCTTCAAAATCATATGTCAGTTTTATATTTATGATATTCTCAACAACTAAACTGAATTCGCATTACCATACCTATACTGGATTCCTAAACTAAATAAAAATCCTTACAAACAAAGATACATACATGTAGCAGGTTCCAGTAAATTTTCTACGAAGCCTCTTTCTTTAATCCTCACCAAAATATTAACAGCAGTGAAGGAGAAAATTCAGGAGTACTGTACAACATATTCGAGAAGTGATGTTAATCAGATGTTGATACTTAAAAACTCCTTAGATCTTTTGCAAAATTAGAAAACACAAAATTTTACCAATATCAATAACATCAAAACGTACGATTTTTCAACATTTTATACAATCATTCCTCACGACAAATTAAAGTTCAGGCTCTTTGACATCAAAAAGAGCTGCTTTTTCAATAAAAATGGACATTGTAAATTTAATTTAATTTACATACCTTGACTTTGGTGATATGCAAAATTATTTTGTTAAAAAAAATTCTGATTGTACACACTAATACTCTGGAGTTGAAATTGAAAAGATGGTTGAGTTTCTGATTGACACTACCTATGTAGTTTTCGGAGATCAAGTCGTACACAATTTGCTGGAATAACTGCACCACCATTATGAGCAGACCTATTTTTGTATTCATATGAGGCAGAATTTATTCAAAAACTTCTACATGGATATAAGTCTCTCGCTTTGGCCTTCAATTCGACATTTAGTAATAATGTTCATTTTCACCCGAGGGCTACGTTGATTCGATATATCCCTTTGAATTCGAAATAAAAGAATTACAAATATTCTGACACATCTTCTTCATATTTGGATATTTTACCAGAAAAAGACATTGATGACAACCTTTATAACAAAACTTTATGATAAACGTGATGATTTCAGCATTTATATCGTAAATTTCTCTTATTTATGTCTACAGCAATTCACCATTATCACCTGCATATGGAGTGTATGTCTCCCAGTGGATATAATACACAAGAGCATGCTATATGTACGAATAATTTCTAATACAAGGCATGCTATTGTCAAATAAGTTGATGATACAAGCATATCAAGTCAATATTTCGCAAATTCTATGGTCGATACAACCTTAACAATAAACACTATAGTTAACTATAGTTTAATTACTATAGTTAACTATAGTTAACTATAGTGATAACTTTGACACTATGAAAACTTTGATTTACTATAGTGATAACTTTGACACTTTGATTTACTATAGTAATAACTTTGACACTTTGATTTTACTATAGTGATAACTTTGAAACTTTGATTTACTAAAGTGATAACTATGAAAACTTTGATTTACTATAGTGATCACTATGAAAACTTTAGTGATCACTTTGAAAACTTTGATTTACTATAGTGATCACTTTGAAAACTTTGATTTACTATAGTTAACTATAGTAAACTATAGTTTACTATAGTATTTTTTTGTTAGGGAATGTTCTTGTTAACGTTAAGGCGAATGTTGACTGACGTTTTTCATAAAAATTTAGGCCATTTTTTCACACTGAATTGTCTACGAATTTTTCCGTTTGACCCATCATGACAAGGAGCACACGGCGGGTGTGACCGGTCGACAGGGGGTGCTTACTACTCCATGGCATATGATCTCACATCTGATGTTTTAGAGGTTCGTGTTTGCTCAGCTCCCAATTTGTATGGTTCCAATGGACTTTGAACTTGATTACTGCTCGTTATCTTCAGATTTCATCATGTAATTGCACAATTAAGTTTTAGAATTTGGTATATCGAAGGGCTCCATGGAGCTATAGACTGCGGTTCCTTATGAAATTTTAGTCATTTGATCTTTCAGAATTGATTCTGTTACACAACTGTGATGCTTAAATTCCAGGTGTGCAATAATGTTTCGGATGCTGAAAGTGACATATTTTCCGGATGAGTGATCAGCTTAAAATCTTAAGCTATTGCAGGTTTATTCCCTGAATAAACTAACTGAAGTTCTTTCTAACATCAGTTTTCACTTTCTTTTTCGTATTTTATAAAGTTTCAAGAACTAACCCAATGATATTAAGTTATTTAATAAGTCTGTTATTTTATATTTTTTTCTGTCCATCAGTCTGTTCAACTATTTCTGTCAGAAAGTTGTGAATTAATTTCAACAAAAATTGGGGAAAATATGACGTCGAATCGATCAAAGTTTCAAGTTATTCATTAGAAGACGAGAATGCTAGATTTTCGGCAATATTCATCAGGTTATGTTTTAACGTACATGGACAAAGAAAGATAACTCCGAAGTAATTTAACCCGATAGAAATAATGTATATTCAGTGTGTTCATGTATATTCAATTTTTTGCAAAAATTACTATACTTTCTTGTAGTAATCTACAGCTTAATTTAGTATAAAAGTAAATATTTTGAGTAATTCACCACAAATAATTTAAATGCAAGGCTTTTTGACATCATACACAACTCAAGACAGCCTACTGACAAATAAGTTTATGTAATTGTCCGTTCAACAATTCCGTTTAAAGTAAAAATTGCGTAAGTTCTATGGTCGATATAATGACCTTCTTTACAAATATTGACTCATATTTTGACTGAAATGTTGCATTCTTTTTAAGGCCATTGTGTTATACTTATTTTGACTAGTTACCAGATCAATACAGAAGGCTCTCGGCGAGTGTAACTAGTCAACGTGGGATGTTTACTCCTCCTAGGCACCTGATCCCACATCTGATGTTTCAAGGGATCCATGTTTTTGCCCTGTTCACGATTGTTTACAGGACTTACATGTATAAGATCAATCACTGTTCGTTATCTTTTTTTCATTCATTTTAATTAATACTATAAAACTTGGATTTACAACAGTAAAAAACTTTGACATATACTTTGATTAATAGAATATAGTAAAAACTTTTACTTTGATTTACTAGACTAAAAATCATTGATTTATCATCGTAAAGACCTTGGTTTATTATAGTAAAACCTTGGTTTACTGTAGTTAAAATATTGAACTTTGATTCACTGAAATTAAAACCCTGATACTTTTCATTAAGGTGGGAATACCATGGAAATTCGATTTACCATAGTTAACTAAAAAAATTCTATCGTTTATTATTGTAAACTACAGTTACCTATTGTAAACAATAATTTTGTATATAGTGTCAAAATACACACTTTGTTTTACTATGGAACTTTGATTTACTTTAGAAAAATTTGATCTACTATAGTAAAAACTTTAATACTTTAGTTAATTATAGTACATTAAATTGAACTATTGTTTACTGTGGTATACTATAGTATTGTATGGTGCTCTGACTACGCTCTCTGTACGCTTGTGGCCCGTCCTAACTAAATACATGTACAATCTATCATATATTTTGACTTTTCTGTCCTCTATTCTAGTCTTACAAATTGGTGCTCTTTTCGATATACACAGACCAGTCAATGATAGTCAAAGTTTGTAATTCTTTAAAAAAAAATTATTTGCAAGCCCTCTCTTACTTGTGGTCATAATGTTTAACAAGAGTTATCAGTAGGTTAGTTTGTCACAAAGTAGTCAATATTTTTCTTGGCAAAAACACACATATATATATACATGTATATATATGTTCTTGTGTCCTATTTTTTCATTGGTGCGAGTTTCTTTCAAAGGGTACTCTTTAAAATATAAATTACTTTAAATGGAGAAATTTAAATTTATTTACATTCTAAACCCAGACCATGTCGATCGTTGTTTGTTCCGGAATGTGAGGCTGGTGAATACACCTACCGGATGTTTGTTTACAATATTGCATGTACATGTTTATACTAGTAAGTAGAATAAATACGCATCATGCATGCGTACATGGAATCTATCACCTTTTTACTGAAAAATTCACCTGTTTTAAGGCAAAACCAACTGATACTATTTGTTATGCTTTGAACACGGAATATTTGGATGAATAAAACAGTTCAACTACAAAACAAATCATAATGGTTATGAATAATATCCATCATTAACATGTCTGATTCTTTGTTCGTTTTTTTCTAAATACAAATAGTGTGAACTACAAACACTTTTAAATCAAGTTTTTTTTCCTATCGAAGAAGCAAATATTGGCACTGTACAAAAGAAATTGTATATATATATATCCTTCATGTACCAGTAAGTGCTTCAATAAAATGTCACTTTTCGTTTATAAATTCGTAATGATCGATATATATTCGTGATAACACACATTTGTGCGGACCAAGGAGTGCACATATTTTGTACTCTTCATTGCAGTAAAATTTTTCTTTGCGCTTCATGCATGGGGTCAGAATATGTAAGCCTACAAAATACCTGTGTTGTTGGTGCGATAGTGTGACATCTGAATGTAATCTTTTTAGAACGGATTACAGAAGTTTCGGTGTATTGAAATAAATTCCTATCCAGATTATGTATTATAAATATTAATTTCTTACAATCGCCACGGCAAAGTCTGGGTCAAAGTCTCAGGTTAATCAATTCAACAATTATCTGCATTGTAACAGATGGCATATTAATACTTAATGAAAATTCTGTGCAGTGTAGCGAGGAAAGTCAATAATATTGAAAGTAAACAGCAAAAAGATGTTTCATTTAAAAAACCCAGAGAGATTAAACAACGATGTTTTTGGTTGGTTTATCGATTTTACACGGATTGATCGCGTTGGTTCCTGTTTCTTTGTGGCGTGGTATCCTGAATAAGACTCCTCTCTCGTGACTCGTGTTCTCCTATTATCTTTCTCGTTATCTCAGGAGGTGGGACAGATTTTATACCTGTCATTTGTGGCTTGCCTGGATACGATTAATATACATCTTCATCAGCCCTCGGGGAACAAACGATTTATTTGTTTTCCATTGAGTGTCGGTGTCGGGAATTTTGATCCAAGTGGAGCAGGCCGTTATATACTGTGTTAAAAGGTAAAACAGAAAGGTGCAAATGCACTGTCGTATCTGTTCATGTTTGATAAATTTCCCGTCGACGCCCGCGGCTACATAAAACCTAAATCATTATTTATAAAGATAAAAGGCAAATTAAGTGTGTATGTATATGGTAAATACCTGAGGACGCTTGAAGCTGCTTTTCCTGGGAGTATAAACAACAACCATGATTCCCGAGTCAGTCAGTGAAACTGTGACAAATGTCCCAGTACCCAACTATCGGGAGGACTCGGACATTAGCGTCCTTTTCTTCGCAGCAATGAAGAGATTCCATGAAGAAGTGGATTTCAAACCGGTGCTAAGACCTGTCAATCACGAAGACACAATCGTATGTTTCAAGGACTGTACAAAAAAGCGTTACGTTAGCAAAACTTTCTATGAACCGAGAGTAAAACCAAAGGTATTCTCGGAAAGTATGGTGATATATCCGAAGCGGCCTGAGCGAACGTTCGTGACTTTGTTGGATTATCATATAGAGGAGTGTAGAAAGTGGTTTAAAACTACCCTGGAATTCAAAGCCCGGACTTACACAAGCAGTAAAATCATGAAGGACAGCGGTTATGGTTCCGATTTGGATTCTTCTAGTGATGAGGATACAGAGACTAAAGAAACAGACACTGGACCCGGAGCCTCATCAGTGTACATCCCACGCTTTGACAAATGGCAATCTGAAATTGAGGACTTCGGGGACCTCGAAAAACAGATTCTAGTTAATGGTTATCATGATTATGAATGTTAGGTTTAGTTTTTATTATATTTAAGTGATCGATCGAACTTAGAATCATGTAAAATCTAGAGTATAAATGGTAGGCTTTTATGATATGAAATGAGTGTTCAAGGTGAAAAATTCTTGAGTGGGTGTTGAAAAGATTAATTGAACATAAATATATATATGAAGTTTTGGTTAATTCATCAGACTGGTGCATTAGCATGCATTTTAATTTTTTTTTTTTTTTAATTGCACAACAAACATTTTCTCATATTTTCAAATTATGTTGTGTGTATTTTTACATGTAGTGAAAATGACACTTGGATTCTTTAAATACCGTACTTGTCACTGGAAAAATATCTATGCATAAATTCAAATTCACAATGATTAAATAATGTTAAATACTGTGCATAACTTTGCCTTGTCTGTTGTAATTTATTGATATTAAGGAGTAATAATTTATTATGAAAAAATAAATAATTTTTTTAAAGCTAGAATATATATTTTTTACTATACAACTTTTCAGTTTATTTTTTATTAAATGTTTGTGATGTTATAAATAAAAACCAGTGTAATATTTCATATACGAATTAAAAAAAACTACCTTTTTTACTCTTTCTGTAAAGTTTTTTCCCCTCTCGCTCTTACCATTTTTCCTCTTAACAAAATATTATGTAAGTTTCAATAAAAAATATAGAAATCTTGGGGTTAAACATATAAAGGTTTCTAAATAAGGAAATGAGTAGTATGCCTCACTTTGATTGATGAACCTGCATTGTGATTACATAACAAATCTAAAATTAATACGGTTCACGCCCTTCTTCTCAGACAATACGTCAGAAAGAAAAACGTATTTTTTTTTGTTCGAAATTCTTTGCAAAGTCATCAAAATTTTTAAAATGAGATTGTGATCAATGATTATTTCTATTAAGTAGAAAATTGCGTGTGTTAAACATTGTACCTCTATATGTAATTAATCAACCGGATGGAATGTTTCAAATTGAACAAACACAGACCTCAAGAGACATGAAATTTGAGCAAAATAAAAATCCTTTATTTGGAGATTTTGTAAACACATTATTTAACATGAAGTTAATGTTGATTAATTAGAGAGTATATAAAAGCTATATGTCAATGTTCTATTCGTTCGGGGAAAAACAGCAAAAAATGTATTCATTATAGCAATAGCAATACTTAGTACATCGTACATGTATGAACGCATCTCTAATGTAACAAAACCAAATTTAAAAACAATAAACAAACATCTGTTGATTTTTTTTCCACTACCCATTCCCTTGCAAAGTATTAAAACGCGAACTATGATTTGAGTATTTACTGTTATCCAGCCTTTAGATTTCTGAAATTCAGTCGGTAAGTTACTTACATTGCTAAGAAAAAGGTCCTGTATATACCAAATATGTTGTATATATCCATACTACATATTTAGACACAGGGTATGAATAGATGTCATTCAAGCTAACCATTTCATTTAAAAATTCTCCAACATTTTTCTCAGAAAATGTGAATGAGATAAGTAATTTGCTGTTAATTGATTTTAAAAAATGTATTTCAATATTTCAAAGATGGTATCTAGGCATGGGGAGAAAAATTGCATGATTTTATACCAGATTGGTATTTTAGTTCTTTAAAAGCTCGAGTGCAAAGAAGCTCGAAAAAATGTCATGTATCTATTGTGTGAATAGTTTGCGATATCCATGCAATATATCACAGTTCACTTAATATAGATGAAGCATCGATAAAAATAAGTGTTAAAGCCTTATTGATTTTGAAACATTTGTCCTTTTCCATTGCGTTTTGTTTTTTTTTTTTTTGTTTTTTGTTTTTTTTTTTCAAGATCAGTTTTCTTCAGCTGAAGTGATTAAATTATTTTTTTCGGATATCAAGAAGCATGAGAATGAAGCATTTCCTTTCCTTGTTGAGGATAACATCCTTATATCTACTCTATCTGAGATTTAGCAATCTTGCTGAGGATGGACATCCTTCGATCTAGTCTATCTGAGATTTGGCAATCTTGCTGAGGATAGACATCCTTAAATCTACTCTTTCCGAGATTTGACAATCATGTTGAGAATGGACATCTTTAAATCTACTCTGAGATTTGGCAATCTTGCTGAGGATGGACATCCTTAAATATACTCTATCTAAGATTTGGCAATCTTGCTGAGGATGGGCATCCTTAAATCTACTCTCTCTGAGATTTGACAATCTTGCTGAGGATGGACATCCTTAAATATACTGTATCTGAGTTTTGGTAATCTTGTTGGGAATGGACATCTTTAAATCTACTCTGAGATTTGACAATCTTGCTGAGAATGGACATCCTTAAATATACTCTATCTGAGATTTGGTAATCTTGTTGAGGTTGGACATCTTTAAATCTACGCTGAGATTTGACAATCTTGCTGGGGATGGACGTCCTTAAATATACTCTATCTGAGATTTGGTAATCTTGTTTAGGTTGGACATCTTTAAATCCACGCTGAGATTTGACAATCTTGCTGGGGGTGGACATCCTTAAATACACTCTATCTAAGATTTGGCAATCTTGCTGGGGATGGATATCCTTAAATCTACTCTATCTGAGATTTGACAATCTTGCTGGGGATGGACATCCTTAAATCTACTCTATCTGAGATTTGACAATCTTGCTGGGGATGGACATCCTTAAATCTACTCTATCTGAGATTTGACAATCTTGCTGGGGATGGACATCCTTAAATCTACTCTATCTGAGATTTGACAATCTCCAGTCTTGTTCTTTAGAATACTCCTCTCCTATGCATTATACTGTGTACAGTTGATCTTATAGTGGCCTTGTGCTTACTTCGGGGTAAAAAAAGAATAGCACGAAAATCGGTCTACTTTTATGAGAGTACAAGTTGCATAACAGTTCAAAGTTTTAAGCCTTTGAAGGTTTTGATAATTTTATCTTCTATATAGGAATATCTGTATGTATAAATTCCTGTAGAAACCATGCGATATGATAACAATTGCAACAACCTTTTCCATTGAATAACATGTTTTGAACATGGTTTCCTATGGGTGCACTGTACCTCTCTGGTCGTCCATTCCATTTTTTTTTTCAGATCATCGAGCCACAGATCCGCAGCTAAATATTGTTCACAAGACAAAGAGATTTGCACCAAACACAAATTCTTTTTTAAAAACACTAAAAAAGGAAGTAAAAAAAACTAGATGTACAATGTACTCCGTGCACTGAGCTCACGAATGATACCCCCTCTCTCATATGAGTATAATGGGCATTGGCAAATTCCATTTTTTGCTATCGGAAACTCCAAATAACTATCCTAGCATAGCATAAAATAGGAGATGCACAATGTCACTATGTAATAACGATTCTGATTAATTTTAATCAGTGGTATAGGAGGTATTGTGGATAAGAGATGGGTAAACCCCCCCCCCCCTCATAGAAATAATGGCAGTGTCCGTGTTGTCCTATGGGAAACCCCAAATAACAGTCTGATCAAAACATAAAATAGAAAATTCACAATGGTACTATATAACAATAAAAGATTCTGTGAAAGTGTTATTCAATTTCATTCAGTGGAATAGGAGGAGTTACGGATAAGAGATGGGTACCCCCTCATAGAAATAAAGGCAGTGTCCGTGTTGTCCTATGGGAAACCCTAAATAACAGTCCGATCAGAACTTTAAAAAGGGGTGCACAATGACACTAAGTGATAAAGATTCTGTGAAAGTGTCATTTAATTTAATTCAGTGGTATAGGAGGAGTTGCGGATAAGAGAAGGGTATCCCCAAGTGTTCTGAGGGAAGCATGGACATCCCCATCGTTATATCCCTCCCTTTTCAAGCAGGGGTATAAAAAGGATGGGTGCCAACATACTGCTTCATGTTGGGAATATATTTTGAAAATATATGATATATATATATATATATATATATATATATATATATATATATATATATATATATATATATATATATATATATATATATATATATATATATATATATATATTAAGTTTATGACTCTATAAAATCATGTTTTAGGGAAAAAACATACTAGGCTTAACGTTTTAACGAATTTTACCTTTTGAGAGGTTTTGATAAAAAAAAAAATAATAATAATAACTTGTGTCTTTCACCTGACATTAAAAAATACGTTTTAGATAAATTTTAGGATTTTTTTCTCTGTAACACAAAGTGTGAAGGAATATGCTGCTGTGTTCTGATTTTTTTTCAAAAGAATAGATGAATGACTTTGATTGAAACCTTTCATACATTTCCTTATGAATGAAATTACAATTCCTTCATAAATGTGGTTGCATATTCCTGTATAGAAACATTTAGATTCTCTAAAAATGAAATTATCATTCTTTCTGTCATAAAGATGAATTCATCATTCTTCATGTTACATTACGGTATAAATATTATTTCATCATGCTTCAATGAAATACGTGGAGATTATTAATGTGGAGATAATTAATATTATCAATGTAAAATTATAAAGATTATTTCTTCATACTTCATGTTAGATTATAAAGATTATTTCTTCATGCTTCATGTTAGATTATAAAGATTATTTCTTCATGCTTCATGTTAGATTATAAAGATTATTTCTTCATGGACAAAAAGGGTATTTTGGTCTTTTTTTCCAATTCATTAAGATAATTTAAACAGAGAATGTATTCAATGTTATAATTTTTTCTGCATCGGTGGCCGATTCCTTCAATTGAAGCAGTCGATGAATAGTCCGTCGACCAACCTTTGATCATCGTCCGACCTTCGGCAGACGGTTCGTCAAGTCGGTCGTCGGTCGGTCGACATTTAGGAATTGGGTTTTCGTAAATGACGGCCGACGGTGAAAATCAAACTGCGGCTTAGCGAAAGATGATCGGGCGACTGTTGGCCGACTTAAAATTATTTAATTTTTAAAAATTATCTGTGTTCCTAGGAATTAATGTGACTGCTCCGCGTCGCCCGAATACCAGTGTTGGCCGATCATGTTTTTCAGCCGACGACATGAGAAAAATTTGGTCGCTCGACCATCGGCTTAAATGTGACCTAGGTAGTAGTCGGCATACCTTTAATTTTGAATCAGACATGAGTAATTTTTTTGTATTTACCTAGAGATGCTGTAAACTGAATCAGGCGCGGATCCAGAAATTTTTCCAGAGGGGGGGGG